AAATTTCACAAATGTCATTAGTGTCAATATGTCAGAAATTGTGTCATAGTGTCGGAAAATTTAAATTACTCCTCCTGGTTTAAAAACAGACCATAGCAACGAGTTAGAGGAGATGGCCAGAAAAAATAATGGAAGAATCTGATGATGAAGACATGGGTGGTATTGATCCCGATGCGTCCGATGAATGTATTAAATACAGTGACCATGTTTCCACTTTAGAGCAGGAAGCTGATAAAGAAGTATTTCAAAGAGTATGTGATCATTAAATGAACACAGAAAAAGAAAAAATACGTACGTTTACAAGTCGCGAAGGAAATATGGTGTGGAATAAAAATCCTATTGTAAGTAAATTTTCAGCGACCTCTGATCGATGAAGAAAGTGTTAAAAACGAGCTGAGTGCATTTTTTACAATTTTTTATCAAAAAATCCTTGCACTTCTTGGAATTTCTTTACTGGTATAAAAAAGTTAATCCATACTGATTTTAGAGAGATGTGGGCAACTGATGGCACAATAATCCACACCTTTCAGGCATGTATGGGATATAAATGTTTTCTGTTTCTCCTTGGAGCACTTAGGTTCAACAACATAACACGTCGTAAAGAACGGAAGCAGACAGATAAATCAGCGTCGGTGCGAGAAATTATAGACAAATTCACAGACAACTGTCGGAAAAATTTCTGCCCAGGTGAACGTATTACAGTTGGCAAAATGTTAGTTCCATACCGTGGTCGTTGTAGTTTTGTACAATATTTGCCCCACAAGCCCAACAAATATGGGATAAAAATATTTGCATTGTGTGATTCAAAGATGTTTTGTGTCTTAAATTTAGAAATTTACTGTGGCAAGCAGCCCGAAGGAGGATTATAATCTACCAAACACTGCAACAGATATTGTACTTAGATTTTTCGAGCCCTTCAAAAATTTTGAAAGAAACTTGACCACAGATAATTGTTACACCAGTTATCCTTTGTCTCAAGAGCTTTTTCATCGAAAAATTACTTCGGTTGGTAAAAAATAAAAGAGAAATTCCACCAGAATTACAACCAAAGCAAAACTAGACCCCTTAATTTTTGCTTTTCAAAAAGAAACCACCCGTGTGTCCTACAGTAGAATAAGGAATAAGGCTGTCATATTACTTTCTACGCAGTACGCTGATGATTCTGTAGTTAGAAGTTAGGCAAACCAGACATAGTACTCTTCAATGAAACAATGAAACTAAAGGTTTGATGTAGTCGATCAAATGTGCAGCAGTTACACTATCCAAACACGAACTAGACGGTGGCCATTGGTCATATTTTATCAGTTTATGAATATTGCAGAAATAAATTTCAATATTTTATTTACCTTCATTAATTGTGATAGAGCCCTAACTCACTACGTATAGATTGGCATCTATACGTCTATAGATGCTAACTAAATACGTAAGAAAGGGTACCAGTAGAGGGGCGTGAACGGAAGATGCATTAATACAAGCGGTTAATGCGGTGGAAAATAAAGAAATAGGTGTCAATGCTGTTACTAAGGCTTATTAAATTCCTAGGATCACTCTTAAAAGAAGGATTAGTAAACATAAACAAGTTCAAGAAGGACAGCTTAGGGTTCTCCTCCATTTTAGGAAGAGTAAATGAAGCATGGCGTTTGAACTTGCTGAAGAGCTAAAACTACCTCATAAATTCAACAAGGAAACTAGAAAAGCTGGTTATGATTGGCTTAACTCTTTTCTTTTAAGAAATCCTACTCTTACTAATAGAAAATCAGAAGGTGTATCTGTATCCCGAGCTAAGGGAATGAACACGAGGTGTGTGGAAGAGTACTTTAAGTTACTTGAAAGTGTTGACGGTGTACGGTGACGAAACCGGGCTTCAACTGAAGAACAAGCCAGTAAATGTTGTTGACAAAAAATGTAACTTCCATTACGTCAGGGAAAAAGGGTGAAACCGTTTCTGTTCTAGCTTGCGCTAGCGCTGAAGGTACATTTCTTCCCCCATAACGCATAATCAAGGGCAAGAACTTGAAAGTTGAGTTCATGAACGGGATGCTTCTTGGCTCAGTTGTAAAAATGTCACAAAAATCTTCTTATGTCGCTAGTAAAATTTTTCTGCACTGGATAAAAACTCATTTCCAATCTAGAAAACCGGCCGGGAAACTACTTCTCTTACTTGATGGTCACACTTCACATACCAGTTCCTTGGAACTACTAGTGTACACGGAGCAAGAAGGAATCGTTTTGATGAGCATTCCGCCCTATACATTACTGGCTACTACAGTTATATTAAAAAAAAAGGGTACAAGTATTAGAAAGGGAAGTTAACGTCATCCTATTTGTGTAAAACCGGCTGGGATTTTTGGAGGTTATCAAATGTCATAAGTGATCAAAAATGCAACTCATAGGCGTCAAAGAGGTTTAATTTGATAGAAGTTTTAACGTTACGTACAATAAAAAATTAATATGCCTCGTCATTTAAGTGAGATTGAAAAGGCTCAAATAATTACGAAAATGAAAGAAGGATGGTCAATTCGTGCGCTAGCAAATTTCTATAATAGAAATTTGAAAACAATCTTCAGAATTAAGCAACGATGGGTCCAACAACAATCATTAAAAAGAAAAGTTGGTTCAGGGCGTTCCAAAGTATCTACTCCTCAACAAGATGCTGCTTTAGTTAAAATCTTTAGAGGTAATCCTATTTGCGACGTCGAAGGATTCAAGGATTCATACGGGATTTCGTGGTGCCCAACCTACTGTAAGCAGAATGATCATTAAATCTGAATTATAAAACCGACCAGCTGCTAAAAAACCATTAGTAACTGTTGAACATCAGCAAGCAAGAGTAATATTTGCACTAAACTATATTTACCGCAACCCACAATTTTGGAACAACGTCATTTTTACTGATGAAAAGACTTTTAAATCGACCTATAACGGTCAAATCCGTGTTTATCGTTCAGCCAATACTACGTTTGAAGAACGATATATTCACTCTCATAATAAATCTGGACGTTTTTCTGTAAATGTATGGGGTTGGATTAGTATACATGGACCTGGTGTTTGTTGGGGATTAGAGGGAAGATTTACTGCCGACAATTACATTAACGTTTTGGAACACGTAATGCTCCCTTCTATTGAGCAATTGTATCCTAATAATACTTTTATATATCAACAAGATAATTGTTCAGTCGACACTGCCCATGCCGTAAGGAATTGGTTTCAAACGCAAAACCTGGAAGTATTGCCATGGCCTGCGCACAGTCCAGATATAAATCCAATTGAAAACGTTTGGGGCATAATTGTTAAAAAAATATATAAAAGAAATTTTATGCCACAAAATTCAGATCAATTGTGGGATACAATCTTAGAGTGCTGGGAAGATCTTGATCCAAATATGATATCTAATATAATTCAAAGTATGCCAAATAGACTAAACAAAGTTATAGAAGCAGACGGTTCTATAACCAAATACTAAATTCTATTTGTAACAGTCATTAAAATTATTCTTTATATAATTGTTGAAAAAATGGTTTCGTCTAATTAATGCTCAACGCCAATGATTTATATTTTTAATAACCTGTGACATCTGATAACCTCCAAAAATCCCAGCCGGTTTTACACAAATACGATGACGTTAACTTCTCTTTCTAATACTTGTACCCTTTTTTTTGAATATAACTGTACCTTTGGACCGATCCTTTTTCAAATTACTTAAGTCCTACTTTTGTAGTGCTTGTAATTATTTCATTAGAAACAATCCATTCAGAAAGATCAATCGTCTGCAGTTTAAAAAACTTTTCAACTCTGCATGGACCAAAGCTGCAGGTATACAAAACGGTGTGAGTGGATTTCAAGCTTGTGGCATATTCCCTCTAAATATGTCTGTAATACCAGCCTACGCCTGCCTAGTCAACATGTCAATGCTGTAACTAATGTGCCAACAAACGACACTGTTGATTCTTCTGTATCTGTGCAGTACCAAGAGCTCAATTTGATCTTGCTAGTATACCCAGTACTTCCAGTAGCCTTACACCATCAAAAATGACTCCTTCTAAACTTCTAGAACATATATCACCCGTCCCTTCTCTCACGCAGAAAGTAACCGTTAAGAGATGTTTGGTGACTGTTTCAAAAGTATTAAATTCAGCTCAGAACATTGCTGTTGTAAAAAGGAAGGCAGTTGAGCAAGTAATAAAAGATAAACAAAAAAAAAATAAAAAGAAACAAGATCAACTGGAAAAAATGTATCACTTTGAAAAAAGAAGTTTCTCAAGCCAAAAAAGGAACCATCTGGCAAAGTGTCACAGTTTGAAAGTTCAGACTCAGAAAGCTATGATTCCGCAGATCTAGTCCAAGATAAGGGTATGTCAGTAGAAGAATGGGATGAAGATGAATGCGTGGGATGTAGAGAGGCTTACAATGAAACCCCAAAAAAAGAAGGCTGGGGGTGAAGTGTGTACAGTGTTCTCGGTGGTTTCATAAAGGTTGCTCTAGATTTGAAGTAAAATGTAACCGTATCAGAAAAATAATGTCACAATTAAAGATAAAAATACGTTTATTGACGTTTCAATTTCCACTTCGGAAATCGTTCTCAAAATACAAAACCTTTTTGTATTTTGAGAACGATTTCCGAAGTGGAAATTGAAACATCAATAAACGTATTTTTATCTTTAATTGTGGCTTTTTCCCAGTTTAATAGTAATTAATATATATATATATATATATATATATATATATATATATATATATATATATATATATATATATATATATAATATTGTATTTTGACTGGCCACTTCACCTTTTACTTGAGCCCATATTAGCTCTATTGGATTTATGTAGTACATTCAGATAGCACTGATAATGGAACAGTTATTCCGAAAACGTCCTGGAAATTTTTTACATAAAAATTTTTGTGATACGTGGTATACAGCCAACTAGAGGAATTTAGTTGCCTAGTGGACTTTCAATAATTGTTTAAAGCTTAAAAGTTAAGTATATAAAAGACCATTCAATAGAAAATTTCTACTTTACTTAAAAAAAGTATATAATAAAGTTTTGTAAAATCAGTCAATCAAAATCAGTCATCGAGCTGACATAAAGCAGCGACTCCACGATTGATCCAATGCTTCTCCGGCACGTTGGAATTCAAAGTTATGTACATCACAAAATTAGTGGAGTGTCCGGTGGTTGATAAAATACCTCGTCTAGCACTAGTCTTATAAACAGGGCAATAGTAACATTGAGGAGGTGAAAATTTTGATATTTCTGCAGGTTTCATCCACATTATTGGAATTAGGTCGAATAATATTTTTGGGAATGATTCGTTCAGTCTTCGTAATTTTCTGTCCCATCTTGCGCCTTCCAGAAAGAGTCCCTAAAATATATAAGATTAAGGATGCAAGATTCATACAAAAATTAATTATATGCATGCATAAAATTTTATAAAATGCAAGTGAAAACAACAATTTTTTAATAAATCTTATATATTATTAAAAACATTATTTTAAAAGTTAAATTTATTTGAGTTTATTTTCCTGGACTACCTTATTTATTAAGTATCTTGCTACTATCTTCGAGTCTAACTTACGATTATTACTTACATCTATAAAAACACTATCTTCTGTCTCGTCCTTTTTTTGCTGCATGAAAAGTATAATTTTTATTATAAATAAGAAATTTTTTAAATAACATGGTAATATTTGCGAATGCGATTAAAAGTATGTAAAAAAAATGAAATAATCATCGGTGACCGACAGTATATTACGGATAATGCACAAAAGAATCTGAAGAAAAAAACTACTCCGCATATCAGCGTCTAGAGGAGAGAGATAGGAAACGCTATTAAAGAAGCTAAGAACAGAATTTTGGAAGAACAGTTGATACTGAAGAAAACCAGAAATCCAATAGTTGGTATTGAAGCAATAAAAACAACATAGATGAACTATATGACAACAGCATTTGATGACAATACAAGTATCCCTATCACACAGAATAAGAATGACGATACAGAACCATCAATTCTCGAAACGGACGTAGAAGCTGCTATAAACAGCATTAAAAAGGGTAAGACGACTTCTACGTAGAATTCATGAAAATTGTCATCAAAGACGCAGTAAAAAGACTTACTTACCTTGATCTTCAACAAGATATATTAAAGTAAAAAAATGCTCCTACACTGGCTTAAATCCACTTTTTTAACAATCTCTTAAAAAAAACAAATGCGAAAAAATGTCAAGAATACCGAATAGCCAGCCTTATGAGTCATCTCCTAAAAACGTTTTTAAATATTATACATAAAAGAATATATAAAACGTGTGACGAACAACTGACACACATACACATACAATTCAATTATGATGCATACTCCCTATATCAATGATATTCAATACCAATATTAGATAATTAAACAGGTTTTTATCATATACTTTCTTCTTCTTCTTCTTGATGTGCCTATCCGTTACGAATGTTGGCGATCATCATGGCAATATTTATCTTATCTGCAGGACTCTGAGGTTCGTTAAACAAGATGTTCTTCTTCTTCCTAGACCTAGCGTTCCAAATATTTTTCCTTGCAGGATGGATTGAAGAAGAGCATGTCTGAAATCATTTAGCATAATATGTCCTAATAATTGTAAATTTCGAGATTTATTGGTGGTCAGTACCTCCCGGTTCTTATTCATTTTTCTAAGGACCTCTTCATTTGTGAATCGGTTACTCCACGGGATCTTAAGTATTCTCCGATATAGCCACATCTTAAATGCTTTTAGTTTTTTGCACATATCTTCGTTCAAGATCCACGATTCAACAGCATAAAAAAGGACAGAGAAGACGTAACATCGCAGAATTCTTACTTTTGTATCAAAGAGAGGTTGTGACTCTTGAAGAAGGCCCTTATCCGATTAAAGGTGGATCTAGCTTTTGCGGTGCATGCTCTAATCTCCTGATTGTTGCTCCATTCTTCATTTATTATGGTGCCGAGGTAATTGTAGTGCGTCACTCTTTCTACAGGAGATTGGTTCACGTAGAGTTGACCTTCTGTGATCATTTTCTTGCTAATTATTATAAGCTGTGTCTGCTGTGTAAGCTGTGTAAGCTGTGTTTATATTGAGTCCATATTAGTGACTGTAATACGATTTTGTTCATAAGAACTTGTAGGCCTTCCAAGTTGTCCGCAAATACCATGGTGTCACCTGCATATCTGATGTGGTTTAGCCGGTAACCATTTAGTAGAATACCTTTTTCAGTTTCGTTCTAAGATTCGATAAATATTCTTTCAGAGTACAGATTGAAGATTAGAGGAGACAAAATACAGCCTTGCCTCATTCCGCGCATGATTTTCACATAGTCAGTGTGTTGACCTTCAACTCTGAGATTTGCTGTCTGATTCCAGTAAAGATTTCTAATTATTTTCAGATCTTGGTTATTAATTCCTGCTTCTTTTTTTATTTGCATTATCTTGGCGTGTTGTACTCGATCAAACGCTTTCTCGTAATCAACCAGACATGCGTATAGGTCGCAGTTGACGTCTCTGCATCTCTGGAATAAGACTTGTGCTGAGAACAAAGCCTCTTTAGTACCAACAGCATTTCTGAACCCGAACTTGTTGAGACAAATTTGACTTTCACAGAGCTTGTAGATTCTCTTATGAATTATCTTTAGGAACAATTTTAGGAGATGACTCAAGAGGCTTATAGTACGGTAATCTTCACATTTTTTGGCTCCTCGTTTTTTTGGAATTGCAATAAACTCAGATTTCAGCCATTCTGTTGGTATTTCTCCAGAGTTGTATATGTTGTTGAATATCTTTGCGATTATTGCTATTGATTCATTGTGCATTAGTTTGAGTAGTTCTTCTAGCTCAAAGGTTTTATCTCCTTGGTCATCAAATAGTTTATCTAGATATTCTTTCCCCGTTCTTATTTTACTCTGTTTGTCCAAGATGATGTTTCCGTCAGAATCAGTTATGTTTCCTTTTTGCTTTCTTCTTAGTCCTTCTGTGAGTTCTTTAACTTTCCTATGTACCTAAATTGTGACTATCGTACTTTGACTGCAGAGTTTCAATTTCTTCGCATCTTTCCCTTACTTCTTTTTCTTTCGCTTCTCTGATTGTCGTTCTTATTAATATATTTATGGTTTTATATTTGTTATGTATTTAATACCATAGACTACTTGCACACCGTAAGAATCTATTTACGAACTATTTAGCCTTGCTCTAGAAGATGTTTTTAAAAACTGGAATGGAACAGTAAGGGTATCAACGTCGACGGATCATACTTAAACCAGTTGAGATTCGCAGATGACATAGTTTTAATAGCCGATAATATCCAAGAACTAAATGATATGTTACAACAATGAAATGCAGTTTCAGGAGCAGTAGACTTAAAAATGAACTACAGCAAAACAAAAATACTGAGCCGAGACCATACAAATATAACAATACAAAATCATACCATAGAAAATATTGAACATTATTGAACATATTGAAATCAAGATGCTGAAATTAAAAGAAGAACACAACTGGCGTGTGGCGCTTTCGGCAAACTAGCACATATATTGAAAAACACCTCCATTCCTATAAACTTAAAAAAAAATGAGTATAACATATGCATACTACCAGTTTGTACCTACGGCTTGGAGACAGTAGTAGCCCTTACCAAAATATTTGCTAAAAAATTAGAAACAACGCAAAGAGCAATCTAACGAATCATGCTTGGAATATCACTAAGAGACAAGATTAAAAATACCGAGATAAGACGTAGAACGAAGATTAGGGATATTGTGGAAGAAATTACAAAAATGAAATGGCGCTGGGTAACGTAGCCCGATATAATGACAACAGGTGGACACGGAGAATTCTAGAATGGAGACCAAGGACGACAACAAGAAGCATGGGAAGACCTCAAAATAGATGGGTAGATGACATAAGAGCAGTGACAGGCAAACAGTGGATTAGATTGGCGCAAGATAGAGAAAGCAATTGGGAAAGACCTACATTCAGGAGTGGATGGAAAATGGTTGACAAAGAAGATATTTGTCTGGGTCATTTTTGGCTTCTCTTCTCTCGTCCATTAGTTTCAGGATCTCATCTGTCATTCATGATTTTTTCTATACGTTCTAATGTACATAAATTATATTGCGCGAGATTATGATTCAATTTCATATGTATTAACCATGGACATCAAAAAATTAAACAGATCAGTCAAAACCAAAGAATGTGTGCAGATATTCTTTCGTATCCCATAGACACCGATGCCATATGTAAAGCACAGCTTTTGAAACCTCTCAGCGTTCTGGCAAAAACTTGCCAAATGTCGATGCTCTTGACAAAAGGTTACAATGTGCAAGAAATTGTTCGAAATTTATGGTTACTAACTATTTCCAATCCATAATATACTAACTAATAACAATAACTATCACTAATAATAATCAAATATACAAGAACAGACGTCACTACAAAAATAATCAAAACAAATTCAATTTTAAGATTAATTCAAGAATGTACCGCATTCATCGGCAGTACCAGAGTTTACTTCACAGACCAAATCCAGAAATATCCAAATATCACCTATAGAAGTCACCCAGTTAACGTACCCTACAGATGCTGTGACCATTTCGAGACAAAGAGTTACTCATTAAAATTAAAACCATTAAAACTCAATAGGATCAACGTAGATAATTTAAAGATTGCACTACAAAAGCTAGACCAATATTCAGAAGAACCAGAAAATATCATGAACCAATCATTCATCGAGAAACATTTATCCTTGTTCACCATATCAACCTTATCATTGATTATCACCCTAGTTATCTTATACCTTTGCTGTTAATGTCGAAACAAAAAATTCCCAAAAATTGCAATCGACGAGTTCCAGGATCAGCCTCTACCTTCACCACCACGCCGAAATTCCTTTAGATAGAAACTTCAAGGCTTAAACTTCAGAAGAAAGTTAAGCCTACATTTAAAAAATCAAAGCAATAGCATTGACTTTTTATTAATAAGGGGAGCTGTTATATGAGAAAATATTAACCTTGAACTAGCTAAAGTTCGCCGACTTGCAGAAGACCCTTGGACCGACCGCTAGCCAACAGCCCTGGGAACAGCAACTCTGTAAATAAATACGCGTTGGGACTTTACCAACCCCCTACCAACTTTATTCTTGTGAAAAAGTATCAATTTATTGAAAGCGTCCCATCTTCAAAAAACTAAATATAACGCCTATATTTGACTACAGTTAATTTCTGGTCATGTCAAAAACTACAATAAAACGAAATTTGCAATATTAATAGGAAACTTTAGAGAATGTAACGTAAATAAATAATAAATTGAACTAAATTTTAAATTAATAAATTCATAATTGAAACAGTTTAGTATATTTATTTACTTAAATATTCAAAATAATATTCACTAACGTCCATGCAATTATAAAGTCGGTGTTCGAAATTACGAAGAACATTTTAAAGCATTTTAGCGGTTACTGGACTACATTTTGGTTTATGCACTATTCGTTTTAATACGTTTCTGAAGCTATTTTATTGTGGTATGCAATATGCAATTACTCTTTTTTTGGGAATAAGCCACAATATAAATAAGTTTTTTTTGTTGTTTTAATTTCAACTTCTCAAAATACAATGTTTTCTTTCAACAATGTATTCGTTTTCAGAGTTTTTTTATTAAAGGGATCATTAAACAGACGTTATAACATAAACATAAATAAAAGTGTGCGACAGGGATGTATGCTTTCCCAATTATTATTAAATGTTTATTTAGCACACAGTATAAACCTTGGGCTGACTTATGTTGAAAAGGGAATACTTTCAAATAGATAGTTTCAAAATAAAAGTTCGTTTACTAAAATGTATTCTCGGTTCTTCTATATGGAATGGAGTCATGTGCCTTAACTGAAGCGTCACTTAAGAGATTCGAAGTATTTAAAATTTGGTGCTATATACCACAGATACGTCCTACTTTGGACCATACTTCAAGGTAAGCTGCCTCGAAAAAAAGGTCCAGGAAGAGGAATAATATTCTGGTTGCATGCTAAATAGTTATCACCTAATCTGCGAAAATGGTTTAACTTAACGTAATTGACACCGGATTTATTAATGCAGCAGTCAATAAAGTCAAAATAGTCATTTTAGTGTCCAATATTCGTAACGCGAGGGCACCATAAGAAAACTATTGTCATTAATAAACAACATAATTACCTTGCAATAAACTCCAAACGGACAAGTTACATCTGTGTTGTCAGGTTCATATTCAGTTACATAATATTCAAAGTGAATCCAGTCTATTGGTAATTTCTTCTTTCTGGCAACATTTTGCAGAACACCTGTTAAGAATGACTGGGTAAAGTAAAATCCCGATATCCAATAGACATTCGGTTCACCGTTGTCTATCCAATCTTGCAAAAATTTTAGCCTAAAAATTATCAGAGAGAAAATTATATAGAGCAATTGAAAAATAAATACATAGAGTAGCCTCTGGAGTAACAGTAACACGGGTTGGTATTTTAACTTAACTTGACTTTAACTTGATTTCCCGCACTGAAATTTGAAGATTTTGATCTTAAAAATCTTGAAATGCCAATGAATTATTTATGTGCACAATTCATAACTTACTCAAGTATGATTTTTTTATGGTTCGTTATTGCCAATTCAACTTTGATGGGTGATACCATCGAGCAATAAGACAAAAGAGGGAATGTAAAGGTAGAAGGGGTAAACATATTGATAGACAGGAAGTGCCATCTTGAGAGGCCACTTTAGACAAGGATAGAGAGTCTCTCTCCTTGTTTGACATCAAATTTAGTTGGGTTATGTTATTGTTTGTCCCAAATGTCACATGAAATCTTATTTATATTGAAGGTTTTTAACAATTGTGTCGCATTTTAGACTCTTATCATTAATAATTAATTAAAACTTTCTCGTCTAAGACACATTTTGAAAAATATTATATAGCTACTGTTGATAAGTGTCGAAAAATTTAAATTTGGCGCCTTTGCATTTCCGGATGTGTCCGCCATCAGAGGCCACTTTTTTCGTCTCCTTTTTATAACGATTAGATTCCCTCTTTTGTCTTATTGCTCGATGGGTGATACCCATGTAGTCATTGATTTGAATTCATATTTTAATATAAGTTAAAAATAGTTTTATTAAAAAGTTAACAGTATTTCTAACAGATCCACTTAACGTTAGCTATTCCTCCGATGTAAAAATTCTTAACTTTCTAATGTGAATTTTACCTAATTAAAAAAATAATCTTAGTCAATATAAGATTCTCGTCTGTACAGAAAAATGTAAGAGGATGTGGGGTAATACTGCACTTTGGTTGTATTGGTGGTGTGCTATCTAAATTGTGCGGGACATGATGCTGCAGTATTCAATAGAGTTTAGGACTGAGAGGAAGTTGTTTAAGCACTTAAAAAAATGAGAAAAGGTAAATACATGATATTTCTGGTGAAGTGTGGACAGCTTTTGGAGATTCAGGAAAAAGTTGGCTTCATAATTCTATTAAATAAACCTTGTTTATTAAATAGAATTATATAAGTCGTAAAGGAAAGACCATGTGTAACGACCGGTTAGTAATTAGGTGATGATCAGTAAACCTCAAACAATTTTTAAAATTTCAAAATTAAATATAATCACTTGAAAAGTAAATTATTTAATTTCATATATTTTATATTCACTAAGAATGTTGGATTTTGTTCTGGTAAAGGCCTCCTTTAAAATCGTCAATTCTTTACGATTTTGCGCTCTTTGTTGTCAATTTTCTGCTTTTGGCCTCCAATTTGTAATTTTGCTCGTCTATTGTTACTCGTGAATTCTCGCTACGTGGCCTGTCCAGTTCCAGGGAGTTATACTATGCTATAACTCTCTAATATAATCTCTCTCTTATACTACAGCCCACGTCAGAACCTGGCCTGGTGATTATATTTTGAACTTTACTTCCCTATGGATTATTTGACATTTTCTTAGTAATATTAGCATAGATTTCGTAGTAGTACTTTTTTACAAGAATAGGTTACTGGTCTATCGCCCAACCCCCTTTTCGGAGGACCATTTCTCCCTTCCTCGTCGGCCTTGACCCTACCTTCCACTGGGGTTGGTTAACCAATCTCCGGTAAGGTTGCTCAGGTTTTTCGGGGTTCACCCGTGTGATTAGGCAACACTTCTTTGAGGTGAGCATAGGAATTGAGTAGGAGTTTCTAGAGGAAGTAACACCTTATATTGCGCATCACTACTCCTTTAAACCCCCCTCTTGATATACTATACAATGTACTAATTACTAATTAAGATTAAATAAACTAAAAATTATATACTTAATAGGCTTACACATAATTTATTAAATTTTTTTTAATTACCTAAATTTCTGGTGATTTTTGCCTTTGAACATTCGTGTAAATTGCATAATAATACCTATTATTTACCATAATGTCACCCCATACCATATATAAAAATACTTTTATTCAATATCTGATACTTCACTTTCAGACTCGTCACTGGTTGAATTATCAATGCGAATAATTAGATATCTCGGTATCTAATTATTCTGGATAAGTCGTATCTTATCCACAACTTGCTCACTTTGAAAGGACTAAACGATTAGATCTTCCGCGTGTCTAATACAATTTTGCCATTAGTCTGCCTTTATCGGTTTTAGCGATTCTTTCCATAAACTAAGAACGCTAGCATCACCTGTTGTTTTCGATATATGCTTATCATAGTAATTTTTTGCAATACCCAAACCAACTTAATTGTATTGCAGTGGCAATGATAAGGCGGAAGTGGAAGAACATCATGGCGATATTTAAGAGCCATTTGGTCGATTATATATATATATATATATATATATATATATATATATATATATATATTTGTTAATTTTGTTGGCTTCACATCTTTGCAGTAAATCGGCTTTTAAAAATATGTCACTGTGGTGAAATATTTTTGTGTGATACATATTTCCGTGGTAATCGTCTGTACTCCTTGTGGACAAAAAAATCAAGCTTGCGTCGGGAATAAATAAAGCCCTCATCATTTCCGGCATGGAATATGATGAATCTTTTACCATTATTTATTACTGAAACGGCTAGAGGAATAGCATTTCGTGGTGCCATCTCCTGGTTGAAAAATGTAAGAGACTGGACAGGCATGGACACACATTCGATATTAAGAACAGCTCAAGATAGAGAGCAATTTGCTGTAGTTATAGCCAACCTTTAGTAATGAAGAAGGCACCTTAAGAAGAAGAAGATGACATCTTGCCAGGATGATTTTGACATATTTCCTTTAGCGAATATTCAAGTTTCGTCTAAAAACACAACTCTTATTTGGTTGTCACAGGTTTTATTGTTGATGTATTTTTTTAAAAATGTTTCCGTTTTGATACATTAGAGAGTTCACATAATACTTGTCTATTATTTGTCTTTTTATATGGAAAACCTAAAGGTTTCAGTATCTTAATTGACTGCGGCAAATCTAACGTTTTTGGATGTCAACGATTTTTCTTATTTATCTTACATATTTCATCCTCACTCATGCTGTTAATTCTCCGGAATGTCCTCTCTGTAATACCGCAAGCATCACATGTGCGTTTCTGAACTGTCATAATAGATGTCAATGGACCCATGTTATGTTTTTCCAAATTAAAATAACTTTCCACTTTCAACACTAAACGCCGTTTTCTGGAGATAAAACTGTACGTTTCGACTATTTTATTTTCCTCCAAATTGCTCATTTTATTTATTTAAGCACCGCTATAAATAAAACTACTACAACTTAAAAAGGATAAGTAGTCCTACAACAGACAAAGCAATTGAACACAAACAGCCGATACTATATCGTAGAACAACAATAAGTTTGGAACACTGAGGTTGCAAAAACTGTTGGCATGTTTTAAATAACATTTTTGCCGATTGACCATTTTACTAATGTTATTAGTATAAAAGATATACTAAGATATTAAATAATATCAGATCATTAAATATTGAACTATCAACAAAAGTATATGATGACAAGTATTTGCTGGTAACACGATCTTCACAGATATAGCCGCCGTTGTACATATTTCTTTGTCGATAACTAAAGCTCGGATTATAGGCAAAATGCCTTTTTTTGCCTATTTTGCCTATTATAAGTGTTTTTTGCACTTTTTGCCTTTTTTCGTAAATTCCGCCTATTTGTGCCTTTTTTAAAATTTCATGGTACTACCCATGATATTATTCTATTACTAAACCATTCTATAATAAAATTTTGGGTCAATAATAAAATATCAATGGTTTGTTTATATAATAGATTTCTAGGAAAATGTACCTGATCGAGACTTGAGGGTTAACTATTTGGAAATCCCTAAGCTTTATTAGTTTATTATCAGTTGTACAGTCGGTTACTGTATCAGAGTTTACTCACAAATTAGCAAATTGCTATATCCTAGTTTAGTTTTGTTGCGTATACCGAAAAGCAAAGAACACGTTTTAAAACGTTCAAGACAGTTGTGTGAAAAGATGACATCTAAATTAAGGCTATGGATCGCACCTTATTCGGAACTTTCTCTAGAAGGAGATGGAGCATTTTGTAAACCATGCGGCAAATCGGTAAGTTTTATTTTTTTTTTCTTTTTTTCTCGTCCCACAACATAACTAAATTCTAAAGCGGTTTTAGAATTCTAATTATTTTTTTTTAATTCTCAGATTTCAAGTAGAAAAAAGTACTTTATTGACCAGCATTGTGGAACCCCACTTCATAAACGTAATTTGGAAAAATTAAATTCCTCTAAGTTAGCCCAAACATCTCTGCGGGATAGTTTAAGCAGTTCAAAAAAAAAGGAGGAAGACGCATTTAAATTTGATTTATGCCAGATGATGATTGCATCCAACATTCCTCTATATAAAGTTAATAACCCTAGTTTTAAACGCTTTTTTGAAAAATATCTTAATAAATCCTTACCGGACGAGAGTACATTGAGAAAACATACTGTGGAAAAATGTTATGTGGAATGTATTTCAAAAATTAAGCACGAGTTGGAGGGCAATTTTTTGTATATTATCGTGGATGAAACGACAGATGTATGCGGCAGGTATATAGCTAATTTAATGATTGGAATTTTGAACGAAAACTTTGCGAGAAAACCTTATTTAGTTGCCGTTAAAGAATTGGAAAAAACAAACAATTTAACAATAAGTCGATTTATACAAGATAGTTTAACAAACCTCTTTTTACCCAACGCTATACCAGTGAATAAAATAGTTTTAATGCTTTCAGATGCTGCGGCATATATGTTAAAAGCTGCTGTTAATTTAAAAATTTTTTATCCTAATTTAATTCATTGCACTTGTGTAGCCCACGGGGTAAATAGAATTGCTGAAGAAATAAGAAATCTGTTTCCGTTGGTAAATAATTTTATAAATTTTATGAAAAAAG